CTGAGGAGGAGGCACGCCGAGGGACAAAGATGGCGGACTTGGACAAATGCGGGGCCTGTGAACATTGACTTGTCGACATGGAACAACTCGTTAGACATACAAACACTCAGTGGTGACGTTTGATACCACCACGTTAGAGATAACATTTATTGGAAGACTTGTCACTTGTTAAAACCAGGAAAACCCAATTGTTTTAGTTGCATTTTGAAGCAGCACGGAGTATTTTTCCTGGCAACCCATGTTAACTTCAGCCCAGTAAAAATCCTTTTCATGTGCCTGTTTGTGAACAAGATGCAGTTTTGTCCCAACACTCATATGATTTCTTTTTGTAAACAATTGACATATATTATTATGCAATATAAACCTTCACTTGTCGAAAACGTAACTTCAGATATTTTCAAAGGTGTCTGTCTTCTCTTAAATAAATTAAAGACGTATAACATTGCGATTTGTTCTTTTTTACTGCAGTCTACAGTATTCCTGCGGCCTGTAAATACTCGATTTTGTCCCTGACAACTTTACCAGTGCCGTCGGGGTATTCGAGTGGTAACGATTGGCCGTCGGGGTACAACGAAACACAATCCACCAAGCCACCGATCCATTTAGTTGAATCTTACACCATGCATCCAAACGGATACAACGAACTGTTACAAAATCCCCGATTTATCTCCTTTATATTATCATATAAAATTTACGTACATAACGAACTCTCTACAGCGAACTAACGGATATAGAGAACAAATATCGGATCACCGACAAGGTCCATCCACCACTAATGAGTGACTTGTGCAGCGAACTTAGAAATCTCACTCAGTGTCAAGTGTCACTGACAATTGGCTGTACGCAATCAGCGGCGAATCAACACAATCACAGTCTATTTTTTATTTTCCTATGTTAAATAAGTCGGTAGGATTACAAGAGTTCGGTCCGACGTATATCACGATAATGCCATAAAATAAAGTTGTGTCATCTAATCGCTGACCGTCTCACTAACGGTAATTTTATTGTAACTTTATTCTCAACAACAAAACTTTACATACACAATGTTCAACAATATTGCTAAATTACGCGATTTTGAAAACCGCGCCCTCTGCCGGCGGCAGTTGACACATCGTTCGATTGCACCCGAACATCCGCGGGGAGCGCTAAGTAAGCCTCAGAGAGCGCTTCGGCCTATTGAATGCATGCCTGGTTTCACTGGTTTTCAAAATGGCGTTGCAGACTGATTTTAGCAATATTGTTAAACATTGTGTATGTGAAGTATGATTGTTTAGAATAAAGATACGATACTCTTTCCGTTAGTTAGACGTGTTCGTTATATCCGTGTCGTACTGTATTTACAAACGTACTGGGGTAAATAAAATAAAGTCGAATTGGAACGTTAGGTGAATAAGGACTTCTGGTTCTGCATTAAAGCTATCGAAGATGTGGATTTAAGAACCCAAATAAAATCTTATTTCTTAGAACTGCATTCCAGGTATTTTATTTACCAGTTATTTGGGTAAAACATAATGGTTTGATGTTTATATTCATCTATATTTCATTTCAGTATATTTTGGACAGTTATTAAGGGGAATAAATTAAATACATCGGGTAAGACATGTCACTATATTGCCAAAACGGCAAGAACAAAGTCTCATAAATCACAGAAAATGATTAATTACCTATAGGGTTAGAAAAAAATCGAAATACTAAAAATCGTATGTGCACTGGTGCAATATCGTTCACGGGCACTAGTATATTTTATTACTTGCGCGTGAAGAGATCACCCGTTTAATAAACATACAGCTGTATTACACATTGTGTAATACCAAAACACGTGCTTATGTACTCTCGGAACACGTTTTGCGAACAAATATTGAAAGCTCTCAACATCCCTTGGCTTATTCAACGACACTGCGTGTGGAGTGGAGTTGAGAGGAGCTTATGCACACTCGATGACCCCAGCAACCTTGTTGCTAGGCTGACGTCACATGGCATTGTTTCCCTGGTGGAACTTGCAACAAAATTCCACAAATTACGTCATCGGGTATTGTGACGTTATGTAAACTTTGAGGTGCAAGGCCCGTTCCACAAGGCGATCGTATTGTAGCGCAACGACAGTCGTTAGTCTGTTAATGTATGTGAGTTGCGATAGTCTTAGCCCTACGATAATTTTGTGAATTCTAAAGGTGGACCGTTGTATGGTATTAAATTAATACGTTTCAACTTTTGACGTGTTTAAAGTATTATTCTGTTAAACTCAATTGGACTATGCCGTGGATTGTGTAGGTGTCAGCCTATTCATACTCAACAGTATAATTCTAAAAACGTTATAAATGGCAAGTAATAAATAAAATACTTAACTCGCTCCCGTGTAAAACCAATTTTATTAAGCTCGTGAATAGTTGTGGTATCTGAATCGCTTTCGCTCGTCAGGTACAACTATTCACTCGTTTAATAAAATTGGTATTTCACGGGAGCTCGTTTAGTATTCTCTATGTATGTCATCCGCGCGGCATTGTTATCGTCTTTCAATTTTTATTCTGACACTAGAAATGACGTTATAGCTGAAGACTGTTGACGTCATTTGACAATTGTGGTTTTCTAAGACGGCGGTCGTGATCAGTGCATTTCTCTAAAGGAAAGATCAGATGGATTAAGAAATAATAGGTAACAAAGAAGTTATTACACTCGCATGTTTGTCATACCGATTTTACGAAACTCGTCTAAGAATAAATGTATTACCCTCGCTCTCGTTCGGGAAAAACAAATCTCCTGGAGTGTGTTTTTTGAGTCAACACTTGGGGAATCCTGGTTGTGTTTGTTGACCAAAAGTAATCTATGCATGCATATTGTATGATTCAACTAAATGGATCGGTGACTTGGTGGATTGTGTTTCATTGTACCCCGACGGCTATTCGTCACCACTTGCCCCTTTCAGTACCTAACTGCTTGTCCCCGAATAACACAAGTTGGTCACGAATGCCCCGGAGGCATGGGACGTTGTCCAAATCAACCACTGGTAAAGTTGTCAGGGACAAAATCGATTATATATAGGCCTCCCTGATATTGCTGGAATATTGTAACTGAAGTAAAAATCAAACAATTTGCAATGTTTTAGATTTATGTAAGAGAAGATAGACACCTATGAAAATATGTCAATTTACGTTTCCAGTTTCGACAAATGAAGGTTTATATCGCATAATAATACATGTCAAATGTTTACAAAAATAAATCATAGGAGTGTTATTGGGACAAAACTGCAACTTCATACCAAATTTTATTATACATGTATCTTGTTTACAAAGCGACGCATGAAAAGGAATTTTTCTGTACTGAAATTAACATGGGTTGCAAGGGAAAATACTCCGTGCTTGCGAGGGGCTTCAAAATGCAGCTAAAACAATTGGAATGGCCTGGTTTTAACAAGTAAAAAGTCTTCCAATAAATGTATTTACTTATGTGGTGGTATCAAACTTCACTACTGGGTGCGTGTATGTCTTACAAGTTGTTCCATGTCGAAAATGTAATGTTCACAGGCCCCGCATTTGTCCAAGTCCGCCATCTTTGTCCCTCGGCGTGCCTCCTCCTCAGTATGCGCTGAAGCGCTAGAAAGCGCTCTCAGCGTGCGTTCCGTTCATCAGGAAATATTCGGAGGTGCTCGCTAGCGCTCGCTGGCGCCTCGGCACCAAACGGCTTATTGAATGCACCTCAGTATGAGTGAACAATGGCAACTGATAACACGTGCAGAACGCCGTCAGGTACCCGAGGTACAGTGGGTTCAAATCAGGAAGTTCTCAGTCAGTATCAGTTAGACCTAACTGAGAGCCATGCGGAAATTGACTTGATTATTGACAGGAAACTAAAGCTACTTCTGCACCTGGCTACCTCCATTAACCCATCATGAACCGGGTGTCAGTGACAAGACAAGCATTTCACTAAACTACCAGCTGATCAGGACACACGAACTTCCCACTGAGATTCAAGTGGTCACTACCACCATAATAATCGGACGACTGATGAAGGTGTTTTTAAGTGTTCTTGTCGCACAAATAGAGGATTCACCACACTTGCTTATTAAATATGCGAAATATAAACCTTGGTTAACCAGTTTTTATTTTGTTTGGGTGGCTTGTTGTTCCAATTTCGACTGCCAAGTCATTGATTACAAGATTTAATCATCATTTAAAATGTGGAGGTAGAGTTGTCATCATTAGTCCAGGAGGGATGACTTCCACTTTCCAATTGTCAGCACTCCCTATATGTTGATCAGTATTCCAGCAGCTGCAGCCTTATGTGCCCGCATGGCAAACATTTTGAGGTACAATCGAGCATGTTCTTTCTACGAACATTTCAAAGAAAAGCAGACCTATTATGTTTTAAAGTAGACTTATTGAGGACATTTCCACACAGTGATAAAAATGATGTCTGATGTTCAATTCAATATTTCGACTTGTGCCATATGTTCCCGTGTTGTTTCAGGTAAACAATTGACTTGCCTTTGCATGTGTTTATGCGGGTTGCTACCATTGGGGCTGGATACGCCCACCTTTTCGCGAACACCTGGTGTCATCAAAATGACATGCTCATGATCTGGTACATTTAGGTATTTTGTCACTTATATTTACATCATATTATCAAACTTTTATAGTCATTCGCGAGGAACGCCAAGTCGTGCGACAGGCACGGCAGCGTTAGACGCCTGACATTTTAGTTGGTATGAATGTAGCACAAAGTAGGGAATGCCTATTTACAACCATGACATTAGACATGCATACGCATAAAATAATTGACCGCTTACATTGTAAGTGGAGTAGTTAATATCGTATGAAAAGACCAGTCGGAACTCCGTGTTTAGTCCTTGAAATGATGAGTCAAACCAGCTAAGTATTCAGTTTTGTGTCCCAAATCCTAATTTTTTCCTGCCTCTCTTGTTTCAGTATTGTACTTGATTGTTCGTTGATGCATCATTATGGATATCAAGCAAATTATCTTCTTCTTTGCAAAACACACACAAGTTTGATGTTATATATTTTAATAAGTAATCATAAAACGTAAATATATATTGCATTTTGGAGGTCTACATTACATGATACTTCTGTATTATCTGCGAAAGGGGATGAGGCAGGTAGTTCTCCCCACTAATCATGTACTGGTTAGTGGAAACCTTTATCCTCATCATCGTACTAGCAGCTGGGACAACAGCATTGTGTGTGTTGTACCTTGACACTCGTCACTCCAAAGCTATAATAACCGGGTGGTATTTTCCCATTGTGTGTGTGTATATCACTGATCGGGGGTTTAACATTAAACCTTAAAACCAAGGACGATACTAGTAAAACAAGTGATGTGCACTTTACATCTGGGTGATGATATCCTGATAAGTAGAAGCACATTATCAGAGTTAATAGAAGCCCTGTACAAATTGTTTACATTTTTCATGTCATAAATATATGTAGGTGCTTGTCCAACATGTCATTAAAATAATCTTAACACAATATAAACATTACAAGCACTGAACGTCTTAGATAATATACCTCACACAGATAGCAGGCCAGATTACATGTAGCTTCTGTAAACGGGTAAACTAAATCCACGAAATAATTAGCTTTTGTACAAGAACATTCAATCATTAATTATACAGCACTTATTATATATGATACAACAATAGCTATTTGTAAAATGCTAATCTTCCGTAATTTCTGCCACAAGTTAAGCGGATCAAATTGATGAAATGCGCGTATGACAATTGAAAGTAGGTACATATATTAGCATGCGAAACACAGACTCCATGTATATGTTAATGACATCCATTGGTAATATGCTTAACGCAAGTAGTTTAGGAACCTTTTGTCCGCATTTTGTTACTCGCTAAACCTTGTCCGCAACAGTAAGTTCAATAAGCAGGTACATATATTAGCAAATGCAACAGTGACTCCATGTATATGGTAATAACATCATCACATTATACAACCAACGCAAGTAGTTCAGCAAGCAGGTATATCTCTGCAGGTATCCTAATTCTGCAGTAACACATTCTTGCAACGAACGGCCAGGGACGTTTTATCCGTATTTCGTTACTCGCTAAACCTTGTCCGCAAACAGGAAGTTCAATTAGCAGGTACATATATCAGCAAATACAATAGAGTAACACAATGTATAAGGTTATAACATCAACAGATAATACACCTAAAGCAAGCATTTCAACAAGCTGAACACCAGGTTATAACATATGCTTGCAACGAACTTCAAGGAATTTGGGAAACTTGTTCATTTTATCCGTATTTCGTTAACTCGCTAAACTTTTTCGGCCAGTTTTCATGATTCCCTACTATTCCTATCAAGGTATATATATTGTGTATTTTTTATAGCAGCGAATAATCATTCGTGGAATTGTTGACATATTCTATGCTCATATGATATTCTTTTGGTATTCTCGTAAAAAGTAACAGAGATACTTTGACCATCTAAGAAAAAACATGAGTTGTTTGATTGGCAGCAGTTGACGGATGACAAAGTAGAGATAATTTATGGACAACAACTTCTCTATTACTGTAAGGGAGACGTTTCGGTATAGATCCTTATATCGTTGTCAAGCCTTGCTAATATTATATTCTTTTGGTGTTATCGTTAATAGAAAAAAACTTTGACAATCTAAGAAAATCATTGTGACAATGTACGGTAGTTTTTTATTCTCCGGTTATGGGGACCAATCTGTTGTTGTCCATAAATTATCTCTTCTTTGTAAGAAAAACATTGTGACAATGTATGGCATTTTTTTTTCTCCACTTATTGTGAGTCTGACCAGATTGTTATGCACGTGCCACTACCTTGAGTGATATGCAAAAGTGGTTAATTGGCTTTACTTAAGTATATATGATAGTACATAGTAAAGCAGTGGGATATTGAAACAGTTCCGTATAAACGTTGGTATACTGCATCAGTGTTTATTATAACCATGTCCTGCTGTTCCTGTTGTACTTTCTATCATCAAACAGACGTTCCCGTGAGGATTCCCGGTTACAATAGGTCACCAACAGCATATGCTTGTCGTTAGAGCCCAATAAATCAAATGGGTGGTCAGGAGTTCTGACTGAGTCGCTAGCGTGTCACAGTACCACAAAGAGGTGGAAAGTTGCTCATAATATCAATCACTGGAGTATCTGGTCCAGATTCAATTACTTACAGGCTTATATAGCTCACATATTGCGTGGTACGGTGTTATAAACAAACAAACACAAAATATATCTGATCAAACTGTGTGATTATCTGTATATTCCTCGTAGGCGTTAAAGCTGTAATGACGCTGCATCATAAAACATGAAGAACTCCATGCATGCATCAGTGGAAGTCGTCAACGACGTCTACTGTTGATCCGGCCTCAGTCTCGATCAGTCGGGGGTGTTGACATCCGCATTCTGGTTGGATGAAACCTTGGATGCTGCTGAAAGAATGAGGGCAATGAACTGGCAGCTAAGTCGAGGTATAACATCGCAAATTCTATGCTATACTATCCCTATGGTGACACTGATGCTATCCTCCGATGCTACAGCAATGAAACTTCACAAACTCCCTGTCAACTTACTCCCTGTTCCGATGTATCCTTCAACAATGAAACGTTGTCATCAAATACGTTTTCGTATATTACTTTTTCACATTTTATATAATTTATCATCCTGACTAGTTTCTGACATAAGCAACTATTATCTATAAAATGTTTACGTTTACATACATCATAATTTCATGAATATTCATCACTGCAAAAAAAACACAGGTACATTTTGGCTTACCTTCGCTGTTTCCGCTTGCTGGTTTGCTGGGTTTTGCATACAGGTCTTCAATACTCAGAGTGATCTGTACTTCTGTTGCATTGTGGGTTTTCCTTACCTTGTTCACCTTTGCATACACATCTTAAATGAAAACAACACATATTTTTTTAGTTCTACTCTTGTGATTTACTTTGTGTATTCAGTTACGTTTACTGGATGTATATATCGTCCTTGTCTCTGTGATTGATGGGGAAACACGGCATTCCCAACTGCCACAGTTAGTGTACATACATATGAAGTGGATGTATATATCGTTATTGTCTCTGTGATTGATGGGGAAACATGGCATTCCCAACTGCCACAGTTAGTGTACATACATATCAAGTGGATGTATATATCGTTATTGTCTCTGTGATTGATGGGGAAACACGGCATTCCCAACTGCCACAGTTAGTGTACATACATATGAAGTGGATGTATATATCGTTATTGTCTCTGTGATTGATGGGGAAACATGGCATTCCCAACTGCCACAGTTAGTGTACATACATATCAAGTGGATGTATATATCGTCCTTGTCTCTGTGATTGATGGGGAAACACGGCATTCCCAACTGCCACAGTTAGTGTACATACATATGAAGTGGATGTATATATCGTCCTTGTCTCTGTGATTGATGGGGAAACACGGCATTCCCAACTGCCACAGTTAGTGTACATACATATGAAGTGGATGTATATATCGTCCTTGTCTCTGTGATTGATGGGGAAACACGGCATTCCCAACTGCCACAGTTAGTGTACATACATATCAAGTGGATGTATATATCGTCCTTGTCTCTGTGATTGATGGGGAAACACGGCATTCCCAACTGCCACAGTTAGTGTACATACATATGAAGTGGATGTATATATCGTCCTTGTCTCTGTGATTGATGGGGAAACACGGCATTCCCAACTGCCACAGTTAGTGTACATACATATGAAGTGGATGTATATATCGTCCTTCTCTCTGTGATTGATGGGGAAACACGGCATTCCCAACTGCCACAGTTAGTGTACATACATATGAAGTGGATGTATATATCGTCCTTGTCTCTGTGATTGATGGGGAAGCACAGCATCCCCAACTGCCACAGTTAGTGTACATACATATGAAGTGGATGTATAGATCGTCTTTGTTTCTGTGATTGATGGGAAAACACAGCATCCCCAACTGCCACAGTTAGTGTACATACATATCAAGTGGATGTATAGATCGTCCTTGTCTCTGTGATTGATGGGGAAGCACAGCATCCCCAAGTGCCACAGTTAGTGTACATACATATGAAGTGGATGTATATATCGTCTTTGTTTCTGTGATTGATGGGAAAACACAGCATCCCCAACTGCCGCAGTTAGTGTACATACATATGAAGTGGATGTATATATCGTCTTTGTTTCTGTGATTGATGGGAAAACACAGCATTCCCAACTGCCACAGTTAGTGTACATACATGTGAAGCGGGTTATAATGCCAGCGTTTGCTTTTGATGCCATAACTTATCAATAGTAAGCCATGATACCGTCACAATATGAACTGCTACGAATGACGTCAGAATAACTTACCTGCCACCTGCTGTTCCTCTGCTGACTCCTGGTTCTCAGTTCTGACAAATCCGTGATACAGATCATTATCCTCCATCACTAAACACAGAAAATATACCTCAAGTTATACAGTAATCTTATGACGGGTTGGATATGTTACGAGCAGTATTTGAATGTGGATTGTTGTTGTTGAGGATTTATGTTCATATCAGATGTATTCATCCTTCACAAAAATATTCGAAGAATCAGACAAATATTTGTTAGACATACCGACCTCACTTAAAAAACTTTTCTGATAAACTTTCTGATTTCAATGGGTCTCAATCTGACTCACTTCAACATAACACAATATAACCTACCTGGCACCTGTTGTCTCTCTGTCTCAATCTGACTCTTTTACACATGACACAATATAGCCTTCCTGACACCTGTTTCTTCATTGTCAACAGCTCGTCGATACAGGACAATACGCAGTTTGAAGTGTTGAAATGTTTTAGACAATTAATTACACCCAGGATTCAGATAATATAATATGACAAAACAGTATCTCTAACATAAAGTAGACGTAAGAGTGAATCATAAACATACCGATCGTCTCTCTCTCAGATTCCTCGTTATATCCGTCTTCTTTGCTGAAACATTCACGGAACACAATAAACATATGGCGACCTCGGCAAAAGGCAAAACTGTGCCATCTTTGTGAAATCCGAGTGATTCCATTGGACGTTGTGAGCGTTAATCATTTCAATTTGTTTTTTCACTAATCATAATTAACATCAAATTAAACATGGGCGACAGTGTGTAAAGCAGAGTATTTAGAGAACCTCTATTCCATAAGGGGAAAATACGTTGATGTATCTTGTACAACATGGATATGATTTCTGGTGTATCGGACAGTGAGTCACCATGGAGATGTCAACAGAGTAACGTACAGTAGCCGAAGTGGAAGTTGTTTGTATGAAGATTCAGTGTTTATGTTCAACATCAAAATAGTCGGACAATCGACTGTGCTTTTAGCAGAGATGTCTTATGTTTATGTAAAGGGGTGTGTCGCTTATATGTATTTGTATAATGCTGAGTGTGTAACATATAATCAATTGAAGACACGATTGCCTCATGTTGTTGAACATCTTTTACACTCTCTCAAAGCGACTTTGCTGAAGTATCCATTGCAGTAAGTTGTCCGATGCCAGTAGACTAAAACGTCGTAGTGCTGTCTTGGTTGTTGCTACAGCTGTTACATGCCACTTAAAGAGGATATCATCCATTCAGATTAGTATTGAGAAGTTAAACATAGAAACACGTACCAGTTGTCTTTGTCTGCCTTGTCTGAAAACAATTTCAACAATTGAACAGGCACTCGTTTTCGTTTCAAGTTCAAACACCTATTACCAAAGGAATGAGTGGTTAACGTTGTACATCGTGTGAGACCTCTTAAATTTAAGTAACAAGATTATTCGTATCCTATGAAGTTAAACGTAGAAGAATGTAAGTAAACATTCGCACCATCTGTCTGGCATTTACCCTCCCTTCTGGATCGTATGCACAATAACACAACGATGACGATGACAACCACAATCACCACACCACCCGCGGATCCAGCAACAACATAGACGAATCCAACTGTATGAATAAAAGGAGCTGTTCATTTCATCAGGACACATCGGGTGGTAAGTAAAGCAATACAGATAAAATCCAAGTCAATTTCTAATATCAACTTTTCTATAATCGTTAAACAGTCTTAAATTAGTAAGGTCACAATAATGATGTCGTATAGTTTCACAAGATTTTGTAAAGCAGTACTTGTATTACAGTACACTTTTTTTATACATACTTTGTGTAGACACTGTTTGGTTTGTTGTCATCATATCTTTGCCATCAGTCGAGGATGGGCCTTGAAACATACAGATATTCAGTATATAACATATTGATACAAGCATTCAACACACGGTCAAATCTAGGCCTCACAAAGATTTCGAAATCCGTTTATCAATTAATATTCTATTTTTAATCGAGTTGCGAAGCGTCAAGCAAAAAAAGTCATAAAAGATATATGATTACATATTGTTCCAGTGTGCTTTTGTTATAAGGAAAATTACAGACATATGTGGACATTACATAAAATTTCCAACAAAAGAAATGGTCTCGACAATGGTATGTTTCTCTTAACAGAATCACTTTAAAAATTCAGAATCAAATACTGACAGATTCGATGCTACATGTCCACTTCAGTGTGATAGAAGTATATGGCCAGTGAAAGGGGCATAGCGATAAAGGATTACTACTACGACCACCACCACTACTATGATCACCACCACTGCCACCACTACTACTACCACCGCCACTACTTCTACTACTACTACTTTTACCTCTGCTGCTATTACCACTACTGCTACTACTACTACTACTTTTACTTCTATTACAACTACTACCGCCGCCACTACTCTATGTTGTACTGTATGGTAGTACTCTACTTACTTTTTGTGGACACTGCTGGGTTCGTTGTCAACACATCGTTGTCATGAGTCGAGGATGGACCTTGAAACATAAAGATATTCAGTATATAACACATTGAAACAATCGTTCAACACACGGTCAAATCTAGGCCTGACAAAGATTTAGAAATCGGTACATAATGTTGATATCTAAAAACACCGACTAGTGATCATTGTTTGCCACTACTATATGATCTACAAGTACGCACCTGTATGTTGTCCTTCAGTGGCAAACGGTGTAATGTGTCTGGTTGATTTAGGTTGATGTAGAATGTCATAAAAGACACAAGGCACTAAAGAAGCCAACCACAAATGTATTATCTTTTTAATATTGTATTTTGTGCCTCCAATCTTTTGGAGCCTGAAATGTTGAAAGCCCATCAGTGTTTCAAATCTTGTAGTCAGACTTCACAGTATATATACGTCATTTCTGGAGATTCGAATATGCGCTCGCAACTTGATGACGTCATATAATGGACGTCATTTATAACTACTGCTCACACTACTACTACTACTGCTACTACTGCTACTACCACAACTAACACTACTACTACTACAACCTCTACTACAACAAAACAACTACTACTACTACTGCTGCTACTACTACAACAACTACTACTACTACTACTACCTCTTCTGCTACTACTACTACTACTACTACTACAACTACTACTACTACTACTACTGCTACTGCTACTGCTACTGCTACTGCTACTGCTACTACTACAACTACTACTACTACTACTACTACTACTACTACTACTTCTACTGAATCACTTTAGCACACAATGTGATATTGCACCTGTACCTTCGGCTCTGCTTGTACCTTGAATAGACACTTTGACTTCAATAGTGAGGTTATTGCTTAACTGTGGCCCAGTCCGACATCTCCACACGGAGCCCTGGTCGAGTGTAGAGTCGGTCCTGAGAGTCACGTTGTGCTGCTGGAGGGAGGAGCTGACACTGATACGTCCTGATACAGACTGGTACTCGGGGGAGGTGGTGAGGGGGTGGAGTATGGCAGCAGATGCGTCGGCATCACTGCTTGTATCAAATATGTAAACATTGTTTCTGTTCCACCTGACACCTATCAATTCCCCGCCCTGTGCTGGTGTACAGGACAGTGTGAAGTCTGCTCCATCTGTGGCAGACTCAGGGTAGCTGGTCAGGTGGAGAGGCGCTGGAACATGTGTATTGTATGAGATTATTGTACAATGTCATGTTCTTGTACAGTATCATCATTTGAATATAACAAGTACAGTACTTTATGATTCACTCACCCATATCGAACACTTACCTGTCGTCCCCAGACAAGGATGCACACCAGCTAATATTGCCATGACAACAAGTGATGTTTTTATCTCATTTGTACAGCGAACTGATGCCACCTGAGAATTGTAAGATAAGAAAATAGTGATCTGCACCCGTAAGGAGAATTTTACATTTTACGATCATGCATTCATATACTCGTATTACAGTTATTATCATCTCTATACTTGTGGAAAGAAATGCGGGACCACATGAGGTGTGATAAGGAGCAGTTCATATTGTGGTCAAAACTCACTGATACCAGCAAGGAGGTATTAAAGGTTGAAGATACCGTCTGTGTATAGGTGCAACATCTTCATGGACAATGAACGGACACATACAAGACGTCCAGCATGATTACTATGTAAGATAAGGGCATCATGGCAGTTTACTTCTTATCGATGAGATCTAGCAGCGAACCAATGTCAAGTAATAAGACAAATCAAGTGTATACAGTGTACAGGCAAGCATGCAATGTTGAAACGGTGCATTGTCGCGGAAGACAAAGATAGAAACGACAAACTTTAAGTCATCATCATGGAAACAACTGAATATAAACATGCTTGTATTACTTTAGATATAGCGATTATATGAACAAATGTTTACGGAACGAGTGTCAGAACTCTTGTATTTCCAGCGAGAGCAGTTTTTTAAAATCACATGCGGGTGTAATAATTTCTTTATCACCTATTATTTGTTGAACCTTTTGAGCACCGCTTCAGGAAAATGCACTGATCACGACCACCGTCTCAGAAAACCACAATTGTTTGATGACGCTAACAATCTTCAGTTATGACGACGTCTAGTGTGGGGTTATGCGCGTATACGTTTTTTTTATAAACTCGGTTATTTCTGACTCCACATGCAATACATACATGTACAGCCATCACGGAGTCACTGTAATACATTAACACCACGTTAACTTACCGTGTCATGAAATATACCGCCACAGACATGCTCGTAGGTCCAATAGTGCGCTCAGATACACAGACACAACCGCGGTGATACGCAGTAACATCACGGAGTTGCTGTAATACATTAACACCACGTTAACTTACCGTGTCATGAAATATACCGCCACAGACATGCTCGTAGGTCCAATAGTGCGCTCAGATACACAGACACAACCGCGGTGATACGCAGTAACATCACGGAGTTGCTGTAATACATTAACACCACGTTAACTTACCGTGTCATGAAATATACCGCCCATAGACATGCTCGTAGGTCCAATAGTGCGCTCAGATACACAGACACAACCTTCACGGAGAGACGTCACAATGCCTATAATACACCAGGAAGTGATACACCGCGACAGTTAGGGTAGACAATACAGAACGGGGTTAAGTATGTTCAAAGTCGCTGAATAGAGCAGTTTGTCATTTACGCTGGTAACCACCCTCTTACTAAACCTATAAACAAATGAGGGAGATCAAATATATCCACTGTTGCAAATATATGTGGAGTGTCATTCATTTGTTGCATGAATGAGTGTGTGATATTTACTCCCAGGTGATATATACATAAACAGCCTTCACGGAGACGTGATAACACAACAGTGACAACAAGTGATACACAGTGACAGCTCGGGTGACAAACCAGTTTCTGTTGTGTGCAGTGTTTTGTTCACAGAACCTAAATAAATAGTGATGGAAATAGGACTGTCATGTTGAATTGCAAGTATGTTTACGCCATATGTTCGTGCTTATCTTCGTATTTCATGGAAACAGGACACTGAGAAAGCTTTATGTCAGATTCATGCGATTACAAAACAATTGAATTGAATTGCAAATATGTTGAAGCCCTTACAGTGATCCCAACTCTACGCATATATTCGAGTCAGATGTGAGGTCTGACCCGATTCTCACTATCCCCGTTCCATTCATGCCGCTTCACCGGAAGTACTCCTTGCACACATGTTAACGCCGGGCTGTAAGTGAGCAAGAGTTGGAACACACGTATGTAGACTTAAACAAAAAAGCCTCATTGCTAGGTAGTGTTTTATCTTAACTACTGCAAAAAAATATGTTTGTTCATTCAGACAAATGGATAATCTTGGTATGTCTGAATTACGACTATGTATGGTGTCTTTACTGCCAGTTGGATAAATAAGGTTTAATGTTGAAACGACTAACACATGTCAACTTTAGTCAATTCATGTTAATATGTGTTGCAATTACTTGTAATAAGTCTCATTCGCTGAAGGGGCGATGGGGTAGCCTAGCGGTTAAAGCGTTCACTCGTCACGCTGAAGACCCGGGGTCGATCCCCCACATTAGTACAATGTGTCAAACCATTTTCTGGGGTCCCCCGCCGTGATAATGCTGGAATATTGCATTATCGGCGTAACACCATATTCACTCACTCTCTCATCCGCTGGGTCTTTGCTGGCAATATAACCTGCATTGCCATGAACAGACACCAGTCATCATCCTACAATATCTGAATCAAGATATTGAGTTAAGGAAAGCAACTCATTACAGACTGAGGTACATACTATGTTTTATCCGGGATTCAAAGCCTCTGATGCACAAGGGAAAAGAATGTAGGATGATATTAAGACACGAGGGCAGTCGGTGCTAGATGTGATATATATCATGTAAACACAAGTGATATATATCGTGTGAACACAAGTGATACATATCATGTGAACACAAGATATATATTATGTGAACACAAGTGATATATATCACGTAACACAAGTGATATATATCATGTGAACACAAGTGATACATATCATGTAAACACAAGTGATATATATCATGTAAACACAAGTGATATATATCAGGTGAACACAAGGGATACATATCATGTAAACACAAATGATATATATCATGTGACACAAGTGATATATATCAGGTGAACACAAGGGATACATATCATGTAAACACAAATGATATATATCATGTGAACACAAGTGATATATATCATGTAAACACAAGTGATATATATCATGTAAACACAAGATTATAAAAACCTGTAGCCCGTCAACGTGAGAGATACGGTTATAGAAAAGGTCTTTGCTGTGAGAGTATGATACTATCCGTACATAGGATAGGTTACACCCACCAAATGAAGCGAGTTGAATTGTAGTAAGATCGTGTGTGCAATATTGAATGACTACCGCTGGTGTTTGTGTTGCATTCCACCAGAACTCAGTAGAGACAGATTGTCAGGAAGTAACACTGATAACTCAAGTTCTCTACACAAGAGCAAGCTGTATATTTTACACTCTTAACACACTGGGGTTATGGGAAACACTTCATGCTCAACTGACTAAACTGTGATAGTTTGTCTGCCTAATGCATCATACCGTTATCTGAGTTATCAGTGTACTATTAAAGGCTCCTTCCATCGTGTGTAAATGGTCCTTGTGTTATACCCACAGGTGAACAGTCTGGTTGACTGTAATGTGTTGCCTCCCGTGTGTTCATCTATTGTATGACATACAACATGGCTTGAAACTCACAATCAATGTGACTTGTATCACAATCTATGTGCCTTGTGTCACAATCTATGTGCCTTTTAACGTGCGTCCACATATCCTGTGACCTGTGAAGATCCGGGGTAGAATGGATTCTAAGTAACCCATTCTGGATAACTTGATTGTATGTTTCAGACTCGATTATTCACGGACAGCCGTCATATAGCTGGAATATTGCCGAGTGGGGCGTTAAACAACAAACAAACCAAACACCATGTAGATATACAAAAATACATGCTATATTTGCATACACCGATTACATTTACAACATACTGACCACATCTGACAATGAACATATTAACAACATACTGACCACATCTGACAATGAACATATCTACAACACATTGACCACATCTGACAATGAACATATCTACAACACACTGACCACATCTGACCATGAACATATCGACAACACACTGACCACATCTGACAATGATCATATCTACAACACACTGACCACATCTGACAATGAACATATCAACAACACACTGACCACATCTGACAATGATCATATCTACAACACACTGACCACATCTGACAATAAACATATCGACAACACACTGACCACATCTGACAATGAACATATCTACAACACACTGACCACATCAGACAATGAACATATCGACAACACACTGACCACATCTGACAATGAACATATTTAAACATACTGACCACATCTGACAATGAACATATCGACAACACACTGACCACGTCTGACAATGATCATATCTACACCACACTGACCACATCTGACAATGAACATATTTACAACATACTGACCACATCTGACAATGAACATATTTACAACATACTGACCACATCTGACAATGAACATATCTACAACACACTGACCACATCTGACAATGAACATATCTACAACACACTGACCACATCTGACAATGTACATATCTACAACATACTGACCACATCTGACAATGATCATATCTGCAACACACTGACCACATCTGACAATGAACATATTTACAACATACTGACCAAATCTGACAATGATCATATCGACAACATACTGACCACATCTGACAATGAACATATTTACAATATACTGACCACATCTGACAATGAACATATTTACAACATACTGACCAAATTTGACAATGATCATATCGACAACATACTGACCACATCTGACAATGAACATATTTGCAACATACTGACCAAATCTGACAATGATCATATCGACAACACACTGACCACATCTGACAATGAACACATTTACAACATACTGACCATATCTGCCATCAACCTTATCAACAGCAGGAACATCATGTATGAATTATCACCATTCCGTCAATATTTCAATATTCCGTCATCATAATAGACTTTCTCTCTACTAGACCAAACACCATGTAGATATACAAAAATACGTACTATACTATCACACACCGATTACATTTACAACATACTGACCACATCTGACAATATCAGTGTAATATTCGCTACTCCGTTCATCACGTCTACATTAATCCTGTGTTATATATTCATGTTTAAAGTATGTATACGTCACTGAATGTTAAGTGTCGATTCCCATGATTTTGTGTTCCTTTATTGTATGACTATGAATGTGTGTGACGTTTTTCATATCTCACAAGCTCGAACATTTACTGATAGGTCCAGGGTTAACCTTGGTCAATGATGTCCGTTCTTCATCTATCCGTTAAGAGACCTTATAATACAACGCCGAAACTACTATGCATAATAATAAAAAACACACACATGTTATTGACAGTTTTTTCTTATTTCATTAAAAATGGCAGGCACGTTTCGCACGTTGAGTCATTTTCCCGATGACATTTGTCATTATGTCAATTATCCTGTTGCAAAAAAGAACTGTTCGACAGAAAACACCTGGTGATTAACAGTCAGGAAGTATTGCCTGGTATGATTGGTAACGATACAAGGGTGGATGGTATACACGATAGATTAGAACGACCACATGTAAAGTTGCCAAAAGGAAATTTATTCATGCAAAAATCAATCATGAAAGAAGTAGAAGAATTTTCTTTATAAAAGTATCATACATTGTATAACGCAAGTTCAATAAAATGTACACACAGCCGAGGAGACAGAAAAACATGAAAACACACAAACCAATAAAATATATACCTAAAACGCACGTTTTCAAACAAAATCAAGGAACCCAAGTACATGCTATCCCACTGAGGTACCATGCAACAGTTTAACATGGATATTACACACAGAATACAGACTCGGTGTCGCCCAAATCTTGTTTCATCCCTTTAAGCTAAACGCAAGGCAGGGAAACAATAGGTACCAACAAGTTATTGGTATAACGTGTCCATCGGAACGAACCAACGATCTTCCCCTTTCTGGAAGTGGTCGTAATTTGTATGAAACAGAATAGAACGTTTTTCTTGTGCTGAGTCTGAGAATTGTCCAGGCCACTGGGGCTCAGATACTTACCACCCTGCCATGTTGCATCAAGAATACGGGTTAAGTATCACTCAGTGGAAGCGGGTGGGTTTTCGTACTGACTGTCAGCAGGTGCTGTGTTGTAGTAGGCCGGGGACTCCTCGGTGTTGACAGACAGGGAAGTAGGAAACTTTTCACCTGTGTGTCCATGATCCAACTCAGTGTAGTTGTTCTCAGTGTTCGGGTCACGTGACATGGTGCTGTACATCTGGCTGTTGCTTTCTGCTATGTCTGGAACAGCACACGACACGACTGCATTTAGGTGAAACGGTATGAAATATAACACTAATATTGTCTCATTATAGTGAAATGGTGTTATATGCCCGAGAAAAGGTGACGCATCAACTAATGCATTTATGAAATGGTGAAATGATGTAAAAAATGTCTCTTAACAAGTACGACACAATTGAATATACAACCAACAAGTAAATATGTCACAGAAAATAGATATGTACAGACAAGCACAGGGTGTGTAAACACAGTGGAATCATTTTATATTGGACACTGTGAAAGAACAGCACTTATCCTGCTTGTATTTCCGTACAAGTAACACAGAGGTGGCAATGGCGACGACGATGACGATGGCAACGATGATGCTCCCAGCTACAGCAGTGATTGGTAAAATATTTCCATCTGGAGTACAAAGTAAACTCAATTTGAATCGCTATATCTATCATCGTTACCATGGCATCCTGTATTCTGCATCAAGTTTCAGGACCATGTTGTAGGTGAAGGCTGTGGTCACATTTATAAGATGTAAAACAGAAGGCTGTTGTCACATATTATATTCATACTTCGCAGTCATCCACATTAATAAGATTTAAAAGAAGATAGAATCAAGGACGTGGAAATAAGGAGGCGGAATGCTTCTGTCAACGTTTACTTACATTTTGTAAAAAAAATGCATAAAAATGAAACTGTATAGATGAAAATATAAATATATTCATATTTTCAAATTAAAACTAAAGCAGTGAAAAGCTTTATATGACACAGTCATGCACAGAAACGTACAGGGCTACCCGATGTAAGCTGCAGAAAGGGGTTGAAATTAAGGTAATGTGTGATAAATAAAATCATATAAAATGAATAAAAACAACAATATCCTTTTCCACAATCATAAGAAAACTCGATTCTAAGTTTATCATGAGTGTTTAAGAATGACAATCATACAATTCGCTAAAAGGTGAGTCTATCATGTCTCACAGGTGGCTCAATCACAAATACATGCAAAGGAAAGGCAATTGTTCACGTAAAAAACAACAAGACAGAAACATATGGTTCAAGTCAAAATAAGGAATTGCATCGGACACCATTTTTGTCATTGATGAGTTAAAATTGGAAAAATCTAAAGAACAACTTTTTTCAGGAAGAATCGAAAGAATTCTTTGAAGAAAGAGCATGCAGGATTAATATCACAAATCACAATATTTTATGCATAATATAGGCAAGGGTAGGTGCAATGACACACCTTCTGAGGTAGATAACAGAACTATCAACATAATAAGATATTTTTAACTAAACGCCAGTGAGAAGGATTAATATAACTATAATATGTATACTATAATCAAGAGTAAGTGCAATGACACACCTTCTGAGGCAGATGGTGAAACAATTGCTCCAATCGTCGTTACAGGATCTTCTGTGGACAAAAAATCAGTGTGTTATGTGTTTTTAAGCCTCGCGTATTTCAGTACCATCTTCACATATATTAATACATTGAGTGTGTATTGACACTTTATATATATTGTACAATATCAATAGTGAGGTTATTGCTGAACCGTCGTTCTTCCTGACAAATCCGTTTGGTTGATCAACGTATACGCAGTATATTATATCAGTGTTTGTCTGTTCGCTGCTTAACTCATCAATCAGCAATATTCCAGCTATAGGCGGGGATCAAGCAAGTCAGCGAGCCTGACCACCCGATCCCGTTAGTCGCCTTTGTGGCAAGCATGGGTAGCTGAAGACATATTCTAACTTGCATCTTTGCGGGTCAATTACACAAGTGAATTACCTTGCATAGATTCTTTGAGTTCAACAGTGATGTTATTGCTGAACTGTTGTCCAACCTTACATCTCCACACGGAGCCCTTGTCGAGTGTAGAGTTGGTCCTGAGAGTCACGTTGTGCTGCTGGAGGGAGGAGCTGACACTGATACGTCCTGACACAGACTGGTACTCGGGGGAGTCGGTGTCGTACACCAGCATGGACCTTGGTAGGGTGGTTTGGAATATGTTCACTGAGTTCCTGGACCAAACAGTTTCTGTTATGTCATCTGCTCCTTCGCAAGTCAGTTTAAGGATCTGTTCATCTGTGCCTGGATGTTTTGTTGCATACACCGAGATGGACACTGACAATGAGACTAATATTTATACATGCCACACAATGATAAATGTCATCCTCTTAAGAAATTGGGCAATCACTTATTGTAAGCGTCAAGTATTCAGCTAGAGGAGATATATCACTGTAATCACTTGCCTCGAATACCATCCAATAAATATAAGCGACAAAACCACTTCCATATTCATAAGAAAACCCGACTGAGATCGATTGTACGATTCTGACTATATTATGAGCATGTGTTTATGAATCACTATCAAATAGTTATGATATCCTGCCCACCTGGTTGCACTCATCACAAACACATGTAAAAACATGTTCGCTTGTAAAAACACAGGGACACATGTTACAAGCCAAATGCGAACATCGGACATTTTGTCACTGATGCTTCAAATTTGGAAATGCTAGAGATATATCTACAATAAAATTTACTTGAAGTGTTGCAATAGAACGCTCAGTATTGTATGTCTGTACCCGGTAATTTGCAATTGGCATCCTTCTTTCTGTTATCAATCATCCATTATCCCTCGACATTTACAATTGGCTTCCTTCTGTTGTTATTCTATCATCAACCATCACCCTTCTACTGGTTCCATTATCAGATGTTTATAAGCCTGTTCTGTGCTGCCTTACTTCACACTTGCTAGACAACAGTATAAGGATTTTATAGTGAAACGTCATATCACAATTGAATAAAGAAGTTATCATCCATAAAATATATTGTCAAAACTACTATTACCTTGATCAAAACAATTATTTCAAAAACCTAATTACGGTAAAGACAAAACGTCAGAGATGAAGAATAATCATTCCAGATCATCTGCCAAAATAGATTATATTTGGCACAAAATGCCAACTAGCACTCAAAATCATAAGAATGGGTCAATGAAAGTCAATGATTACAATTGGCGTTCGAGAAAGAATAATATATTGCTCTGTAGGGTAATACACAAACCAGAAACAAGAGTGTAGATCAGTCCAAATCTCTGATACACAGCTTGAGCCCAAATCTCTGATACAAAGATTTAGCCCGAATCTCTGATACACAGCTTTAGCCCAAATCTCTGATACACAGCTTTATATGTATATTATTCCAAGCCACATAACGTTGCATGTTTTGTTTTCCTTATCTACTGAAATGTTTCAATCATAAGCGAATTACCTTGAATCGACACTTTGAGTTCAATTGTGAGGTTATTGCTGAACTGTTGTCTATTCTGGCATATCCAGACGGAGCCCTTGTCTAGTGTAGAGTTGGTCCTGAGAGTCACGTTGTGCCGCTGGAGGGAGGAGTGGACACTGATACGTCCTGACACAGACTGGTACTCGGGGGAGGTGGTGAAGTTATTGAGTATGACAGCAGATACTTCGGAATCACTGCTTGTATCAAATATGTTAACATTGTTTCTGTACCATCTGACACTTATCAATGTCCTGCCCTGTGCGGGTGTACAGTACAGTGTGAAGTCTGCTCCTTCTGTGGCAGCCTCAGGGTAGCTGGTCAGGTAGAGAGGCGCTGGAACACGTGTATTGTATTAGGTTATTGTACAATGGCATGTTCTTGTACAGTATCAATATTTGAATATAACAAGTACAATATATTATGGTTCACTCAAATTTGAAAATTGACACTTACCTGTCTTCCCCACACACGGATGCACTCCGGCTAATAACGCCATGACAACCAGTGATGTTTTTATCTCTTCTGAACAGCGAAGAAATACCTCCTGAGAATAGAAAGATGGGGCTTTGGAAATACTGATCTAATACATGACAATTATTAACACTCACTCTACCTCACACGGAATGCTTTACATATTGCGCAAAAAGTTGTATAATCACATGAGGGGTGATTGGGATCAGTTTCGATTGTGTTCATATACACTGACTGCAAGGAATGATTCCCAGGTTAAATTGTATCGTTTTCATAGCGTAAAGGGAGAATCATGGCAGCTTATTGCACAGTAAAAATAGCCAAAAGGCAAATATTACGTCTGGGTTCAGAGTAATCGAATCAATTCTTCTATTGAATTTACATGAAAATGTGGCATGGCCATGGTAGACGTAAAAAGCAATGATTGATATGAGATATTGAATGGGTGCGTACGTGCATGCGTGCGTGTGTGTGTATGTGTGTGTTACTCTGTGTTTATGTGTGCTTAACACTAATGTCGGTTTTGTACGGCTTCCCACCGAGATACCATTCCGGAGTTTAGTACGGACACAACAATTAGACACAGTATACTGACTGTGAGCATACCCCGCCATGATATTGCTAGAATATTGCTGAAAGCAGTGTAAAATGATACTAACTTACTCACCTTGCGGGCAAGTAGTACCCTTAAGGATGTTCGGTAAGACATCCACTCTCCACGCAGAAGTTCCATTAGACAACCGAGATGGTCAAATCAGTGTCTCTTGGACAATACGAAATATAATTGTATGCTATCTGTTGAACACCACGAGACTTAACACACGTCTCCCTGTCACTGAGATCAACATAACTGCTGAGCACAATTGTTTGAGAATGGAGTTGGCGTCATAACCTTAGACCGTTGCGCCACCGGCGTCACAATATGTTCAATGATATTTGACGACATCATGAAAGCCAGTGCCCTTAACGTGCTTGTGTTTGTCAGAAAGACTGGTACAGGCATCACGGAGACGCTGTTATGTATTAACACTACGCTAACTTACCGTGTCATGGAAGAAACTATCCACATACATGCTTTACTTCCGATACTTGGGCTTGATATACACACACAACCTTCAGATAGACGCCATAACGCATAAAACACACCAGGAAATGATTCACAGTGACAGCACGGTAGGCAATAGAAACTGTTTTGAGCTGTGTGCAGTGTTTTGTTCACAGAAAGTAAATATGGCACATCTACACATTGATGGAAATAGGACACTGGGAAAGCTTTATGTCACTGCCATGTGATTACAAAGCTGTTATGTTGAATTGCTATGTGTACGCCGTTAGATTGATCCCTACATGTGGTCCGACCCAGTTCTCACTATCCCTTTTCCACTCATGTGGTTCTTTTGTCGGCGTTTTACCACTTCACCGGAAGTACTCCTTTCACACAACCTCAGTCTGTATTTGAGCGAGATTTGGAACACACACATGTAGACTTTAGCAATAAAGCCTCATTGCCTTTCAGACCAAATGGATAATCTTGGGATTTCAGATTTACGACTATGTATGTTGTCTATTCTGCCAGTTGGCATACCATAACGATAAATATCGATGATAAATTAGGTTTAAAATGTTGAGACGACTATGAAATGTTAGTATGTGTTGGAATTTCTTGTTGTAAGTCTCATCCACTGCGGGGGCGGTGGGGTAGCCTAGTGGTTAAAACGTTCACTCCTCAAGCCTAAGACCCGGGTTCGATTCCCCACATTGGTACAATGTGTGAAGCCTGTTTCTGGTGTCCTCCGCGGAGACATTGCTGGAATATTGCTTAAAGTTGTCAAAAGCCATACTCACTCACTCACTCACTTATCCGCTGAGTCTCTGCCTTGCCATGGCCAGAACAGTCAGCATCCCACATTGTCTGAATCAAGATATTCCCTACCCACCTGAGTCAAGGGAAGCAACTCATGACAGACTGAATACATTCTATGTTGCATGAGGGATTCAAAGCCTCCGATGTTACACAGCATAAAGGGACAACTGTAGGATGATATAAATACCCGAGGGCAGCCGGTACTAGATGTGATATATATCATGTGAACACAGGTGATACATATCATGTCAACACAGGTGATATATATATATATATATATATATATATATATATATATATCATGTCAACTCAAAAAGAGAGTTGAATTGTAGTGTGTGCAATATTGAATTACTACCGCGGGTGTTTGTGTTGCATTCCAGCAGAACTCGGTATAGACAGGAGGTAACATTGATAACTCCAGTTCTCTACATCCGTTACACACTGATGTTATGTGAAACACTTCACGCTCAACTGTGATAGCCTGTCTGCCTAATGTCTGATACCTTTATCTGAGTTATCAGTGTACTATTCAATGCTCCTTCCATCGTGTGTAAATGGTTCTTGTGTTGTACCCACAGGTGAACAGTGTGGCTGACTGTTATGTGTTGCCACCCATGCGTTCATCTATTGTATGACATGCAACATGGCTTGAAACTAACAATCTATGTGCCTTGTATCACAATCTATGTGCTTTCAACGTGCGTCCACATATTCTGTGACCCGTGAAGATCTGGGGTAGAATAGGTTTTCAGTAACCCATTCTCTCCAGAAAAGGCGACTAAGGGGATCTGGAGGTCAGGCTCGCTGACTTAGTTGATGCATGTCATCCTATTCCAATTTCGTGGATCGATCCTCATCATGTCGATCCCTGGATTGTATGTTTCAGACTCGATTATTTACAGACCGCCGTCATATAGCTGGACTATTGCTGAGTGGGGTGATAAACAACAAACAAACCAAACACCATGTAGATATACAAACATACTTACTATACCATCATACGCTGATTACGTCTACAACATACTGACCACATCTGACAATGAACATATCGACAACATACTGACCACATCTGACAATGAACATATCAACAACACACTGACCTACATTACTGTCAAGTGTGTTACACAGTTCTACACAATGTATCCCACAGCAGAGCCATTGGTCTCCTTCACGAAAATTTGATAATGATTTAAAAACATGCTCTTGATCTGGTACATTTCTTTGTTGTTATTGATAGGTATTTGTCGCTTTATTTACATCTTAAAACGAAACATTTATAGTTATTCGCCAGGAACACCAAGTCGTGCGACAGGCACGGCAGCGTTAGACGCCTGACATTTAAGTTGGTGTGAGTGAAGCACAAAGTAGGGAATGCCTATTAATAACCACGACATAAGACATGCATACGTGTAAGATAATAGACCGCCACATTGTAAGTCGAGTAATTAATATCGTATGAATAGACCAGTCGGACCTCCGTGTTTAGTCCTTGAAATGATGAGTCAACCCTGCTAAGTATTCAGCCTTGTGTCCGAAATCCTAATTTCATTGATGATATCTTTTTCTGTCGCTCTTGTTTCAGCATTGAACTTGATTGTGTATTGATGCATCCTTACTGATATCAAACAAACTATCTTCTTCTTTGCAAAACACACACAAGTGTGATGTGATATATTTTAATAAGTAATCAAAAAAGGTAAATATATATTGCATTTTGGAAGTCAACATAACATGATAATTCTGTATTATCTGAGATAGGGGATGTGCCAGATTGCTCTCCCAATTAATCATGCACTGGTCAGTAGAAACCTCATCATCGTACTAGCAGCTGGAACAACAGCATTGTGTGTGTTGTATCTTGACACTCGTCACTCCAAAGCTATAATAGCCGGGTGTCTTTTCCCATTGTGTGTATAGGGGTTTAACATTAAACGTTAAAACCAAGGACGACATTAGTAAAACAAGTGATGTGCACTTTACATCTGGGTGATGATATCCTGATCAGTAGAAGCACATTATCAAAGTTTGTAGGAGCCCTGTACAAATTGTTTACATTTTTCATGACATAAATATATGTAGGTGCTTGTCCAACATATCAATAAAATAATCTAAACACAATATTAACATCACAAGCACTTAACGTTTTAGATAATATACCTCACACAGATAGCAGGCCAGATTACATGTAGCTTCTGTAAACGGGTAAACTAAATCCACGAAATAATTAGCTTTGGTACAAGAACATTTAATCATTAATTTTACAGCACTTATTATATATTATACAACAATAGCTATTTATAAAGTGTTAATCTGCCGTAATTTCTGGCACAAGTTAAGAGGATCACATTGATGACATGCACTTATGACAGTTGAAAGCAGGTACATATATAAGCAAATGCAACAGTGACTCCATGTATATATTAATAACATCCATTGGTAATACGCTTAACGCAAGTTGTTCAACAAGCAGGTACATATATATATAAGCACATTAAATAGTGACTCCATGTAAATGGTAATAAGATCATTAGATAATATACCCAACGAAAATAGGTCAACAAGCAGGTATATATATCATCAAATGAAACAGTGACTCCATGGATGTACTAATAACATCATGAAATAATACACCCAACGAAAGTAATTCAACAAGCAGGTATATATATATTAGCAAATGAAACACAGAGACTCAGCAGGTATCCTAATGGTGCAGTAACACATGCTTGTAACGAACGGCAACGGACGTTTTATCCGTATTTCGTTACTCGCTAAACCTTGTCCGCAAACAGGAAGTTCAATAAGCAGGTACATATATCAGCAAATTAAACATAATAACTCCATGTATAAGGTAATAATATCCACAGATAATACAGCTAAAGCAAGCATTTCAACAAGCTGTGTTATGCCTGCAACGAACTTCAAGGGAATGGGGACATTTGTTCGGTTTTCCGTATTTCGTTACTCGCTCAACCTTGTGGCCCAGATTAGATGATTCCCCACTATTCATATCAATGTATATATACCGTGTTTTTTTAAAAGAAGTGAATAACCATTCATGGAATTGTTGACATATTCTATGCTCATATATATTCTTTTGGTATTCTCGAAAATAGTAACAGAAATACTCTGACAATCTAAGAAAAACATGAGTTCTTTGACAGGCATTACTTAGAAGTTGACTAATGACAAAGGAGACAACTTCGCTATTACTGTAAGGGAGACGTTTCGGTATAGATCCTTATATCGTTGCCAAGCCTTGCTAATATTATATTCTTTTGGTATTACCGTAAATAGTCGCAGAAAAACTTTGACAATCTATGAAAATCATGGTGATAATTTACGGTAGTTTTTTATTCTCTGGTCATGGGGACCAATCTGTTCCTGTCCATAAATTATCTCTACTTTGTAACAAAAACATTGTGATAATGTATAGCATTTTTTTGTTCTGCGCTTAAGGTGAGTCTGACAAGTCTGTTATGCACGTGCCACTACATCGAGTGATATGCAAAAGTGGTTAATTGGCTTTACCTAAGTATATATGATAGTACATAGTAAAGCAGTGGGATATTGAAACAGTTCCGTATAAACGTTGGTATGCTGCATCAGTGTTTATTATTACCATGTCCTGCTGTTCCTGTTGTACTTTCTATCATCAAACAGACGTTCCCGTGAGGATTCCGGGTAACACTAGGTCCTCAGCAGCAGGTGCCGGTCGTTGGAGCCCATAAAATCACAAGGGTGGTCAGGAGTGGTGACTGTGTCACTAGCGTGTTACAGTACCACAAAGAGGTGGAAAGTTGCTCATAATATCAATCACTGGAGTATCTGGTCCAGCTTCAATTACTTACGGGCTTATATAGCTCACATATTGTGTGGTACGGTGTTATCAACAAAAAAATACAAAATACATCTGATCAAACTGTGTGATTATCTGCATATTCCTCGTAGGCGTTCAAACTGTATGACGCTGCATCATAAAACAGGAAGAACTCCATGCACACATCAGTGGAAGTCGTCAACGACCTCTACTGTTGATCCGGTCTCAGTCTCGATCAGTCGGGGGTGTTGACATCCTCGTTCTGGTTGGATGAAACCTTGGATGCTGCTGAAAGAATGAAAGCAATGAACAGGGAGCTGAGTCGAGGGATAACATCGCAGGTTCTATGATACTCTATCCCCATGGTGACACTGTTGCTATCCTCCGATGCTACAGCAATGAAACCTTCACAAACTCCCTGTCAACGTACTTCCTGTTCTGATGTATCCTTCATCAAATACATTTTCGTATCTTACTTTTTCACATTTTATGTTATTAATCATCCCGACTAGTTTCTGACATAAGCAGCTATTATTATCTATAGATTATTACGTTTACATACATCATAATTTCATGAATATTCATTACTGCAAAAAACAGTTTCAGAAAACACAGGTACATTTGGGCTTACCCTCGCTGTTTCCGCTTGCTGGTTTGTTGGGTTTTGCATACAGGTCTTCAATACTCAGAGTGATCTGTACTTCTGTTGCATTGTGGGTTTTCCTCACCTTGTTGACCTTTGCATACACATCTTAAATGAAAACAATGTATTCAGTTATGTTTACTGGATGTATATATCGTCCATGTCTCTGTGATTGATGGGGAAACACGGCATTCCCAACTGCCACAGTTAGTGTACAGATATTTGCAGTGGATTAAATACCGTCTTTGTCTCTGTGATTGATGGGGAAACACAGTATTCCCAACTGCCACAGTTAGTGTACAGATATTTGCAGTGGATGTATATATCGTCCTTGTCTCTGTGATTGAAGACTGCCGAATTTGGTGTGCATGCATATGCAGTGGGAAATAATGCCAGTGTTTGCTTTTGATGCCATAACCTGTCAAAAGTAAGTTACGTTACTGTCACACTGTGTACTGCTACGAATGACGTCAGTATAACTTACCTCGCACCTGCTGTTCCTCTGCTGACTCCTGGTTTTCAGTTCTGACAAATCCGTGATACAAATCATTATCCTCCATCACTAAACACAGAAAATATACCTCAAGGTATACAGTTATTTTATGACGGATTGGATAAGTTACAAGAAGTATGTAACTGAATGTTGGTTTTAATAATGATTGCAATAACAGTTATGACATACGTGCCCAAGGAAATCTGATGTAGCAGATAATTAAGATGGTTATTCTCTGTTGTCAAGGATTTATATTCATATCAGATGTATTCATCCTTCAACGAAACAGACAAATATTTTGTTACACATAACGACCTCACTTGATAACAATACTTGTCTAATGTCAACTGTATGATAAAGAAAAAAAAACTTGGTTGACATTTGAAAATGCACGGCATATATTGTCAATGACAATATTGTCATTGTCATGTTAAATCAAAAGAAAAAACAAACAAAACATTTCAATGGGTCTCAATCTGACTCATTTGAACAAAACACAATATAGCCTACCTGACACCTGTTGTCTCTCTGTCTCAATCTTAATCACTTCCACAAAACACAACATAGCATGCCTGACACATGCCGTCTCTCTGTCTCAATCTTAATCACTTAAGATTGACATAACAAAATATAACCTTCCTGACACCTGTTGTCTCTGTCTCGATCTAACTCTCTTTCACATAACTGAAACATTGCCTACCTAACACATGTTGTCTCAAATCGTCGATACAGAAAATAATGCCGTTTAAAGTCTTGAGATGTTTAAGATAATAAATTACACAAAGTATTCAGATAATATAATATGAAAAAACAGTATCTCTAACAGAAAGGAAACATAAGAGTGAGTAATAAACATACCGATCGTCTCTCTCTCAGATTCCTCGTTATATCCCCCTTCTTTGCTGAAGAATTCAGAGACCAGAAAAATCAGAAATATGTTATCTCCATGGTGACATTTGACAAAAAGTGAAATGGTGCCATCTTTGTCAAGTGCCTAGAATACTGAATCCATTGGGCATTGTCTGCGTCATCTCTTTCAATTTCCTTTTTCATATATCATAATTTACAGCAAGTTCAACATGAGTGACAGTGTGTTGCAGAGTATTCAGAGAACCTCTTTTCCCATCAGTGGTGTATCAGATAGTGTATCATGGTGTATCACGATGATGTCAACAGAATAACGTACTGTAGCCGAATTGGAAGTTATTAATGTAAAGCCATGAGATTTGAAGATTAATTTTTTTTTGCTTCAAAGCCAAAACAGTGTGATAGAGTTTTCACACATGCTCATGATATAGTCGGAATCGATCAATCGACTCTGCTTTTGGCAGATAATTCTTATGAATGTTGAAAGGGTTTTGTCGCTTTCATTTATTTGTATAATGCTATGTGTGTATGATATAATCCATTGAAAACACGATTGCCTCATGGTGTTGAACATCTTTTACGTTCTTTCAAAACGGCGTTGCTGTCGTATCGAATACAGTAAGTTGCCGGATACAAGCAGACTAAAACGTCGCAGTGCTATTTTGGTTGATGTTGCAGCTGTTACATGACTCTTAAAGAGGATGTCACCCATTCAGGATAGTATTGAGAAGTAGAAAACAGCAAATACGTACCAGTTGTCTTTCTCTGTCTTGTCTGAAAATAATTTATACAATTGTACTGGCAATCTATTTCGTTTTCAGTTCATATTGACAAAGGAATGAATGAGTTTACATTTTACATCACATGAGATCTCTTATATATGACGACTTTATTCGTACCATATGATATTAAACATAGAAGAACAGAAGTAAGCATTCGTACCAATTGTCTGGCATTTATCCTCCCTTCTTGATCGTATGCACAGTAACACAACGATGACGATGACAACCACAATCACCACACCACCCCCGGATCCAGCAACAGCATAGATGAATTCAACTGTATGAATAAAAGGGGCTGAAAATTAATACATACACGTTCATTTCATCTGGACACATCGGATGATAAGTACATTAATACTTATTAAATCCTCGATAAAACTTGCAGTCGACTGATAATATCGCCAAACCTATTTCTAAAACAAACTTTTCTATAATCGTTAAACATTCTTAAAATAGTAATTTCACAATAATGATGTCTTATAGTTTTACAAGGTTTTGTGAAGCAGTACTTGGGTTACAGTACTCTAGTGTTGATACATACTTGGTGTAGATGTCGTTGTCATCGTAGTTTTGTCATCAGTCGAGGATGGACCTTGAAACATACAGATATTCAGTATATAATCACGTATGTACCGATCTTGAGTAGTAACGGATGCTTGTTTCAGCATACGGTCAGAAGTTGGCCTTACAAAGAAGATCGAAGCAATTAATATTCTTTTTCTATCATGTTGCGGAGAGTAACGTCACAAACGTCATGAAAGATATATGATTAAATATTGTTAAAATGTGCGTTGCGTTGTTTTAAGGAAAACTCACAAAACACAAACAGGCTCCCATGCGGACATTACATATCATTTCTTGCAAAGAAATGTGCATGCTATATAAAGATGAATATATATATATATAATATGACTTTTGCTGACAGCACTGTATCTGATACTGACCCATGCCATGATATTATATACTGCAGTTTTTTATGTTGATTTGTAAACCTAGTTAATTTTTTAATACAATTTTGTTATTGTATACTATTTGTTTGTTGGGTTTACACTAAGTTGTTGTACGTACAGATTTCTGGATTAACATATTGTTTCCATAATGCATTTTGTTTATGAATGTATTTAACGGGATTTGCGTGACAGAGGTTTGATATATTAATGGAGATTGTGTTTTTCTTAAAGAATGTTTTTAAGCTATTTCACCTCTTTCTGAGATGTTTTAATTGTTGAGACGATGCCCTTGTATCATTTCTAATAGCATCCAATATAATATTGTACCTTTGTACCTTTGGTTGTGCTTGGGCCTTGAATAGATTCTTTGACGTCAATAGTGAGGTTATTGCTGAACTGTGATCCAGTCTTACACGTCCACACAGAGCCCTTGTCGAGTGTAGAGTTGGCCCAGAGAGTCATGTTGAACTGCTGGGGGGAGGAGTTGACACTGATACGTCCTGACACAGACTGGTACTCGGGGGAGGTGGTGAAGTTATTGAGTATGACAGCAGATACTTCGGAATCACTGCTTGTATCAAATATGTTAACATTGTTTCTGAACCAGGCGGCACTTATAAATGTCTTGCTCTGTTCTGTTGTGGGTGTACAGGACAGTGTGAAGTCTGCTCCATCTGAGGCTGACTCTGGGTAGCTGGTCAGGTGGGGAGACGCTGTAACATGTGTATTGTATGAGGTTATTGTCCAATGGCATGTTCTTGTACAGTATCACCATTTGAATATACAGTACTTTATGGTTCACTCACCCACATGGAACACTTACCTGTCGTCCCCACACAAGGTTGCACACCAGCTAATAACGTCATAACAATCAGTGATGTTTGTATCTCATTCAGACTGCAGATTGATGCCACCTGAGAATAGTAAGATAAGAAAATAATGATCTGCATCCATTAAGAGAATTATTAACACTAATTTTCACATTTTACGATTAGGCCATCATATATTTAATAATTGTTATCTCTATACTTGTGGAAAGTGTCATTAGTCTCAGCTCATATTGTGGTCATATTCAGTGATACCAGCAAGGAAATATTCAAGGTTAAATACACCAAAGTGCAACATCTTCATGGAAAATTATCGCAGAGGAGACGTCTAGCCTTGTAAGATCAGGGCATCCTGGCAGTGTACTTCTTATTAACAAGAGTCATCGATGAGATAAGTAATAAGTCAGGGATCTCAGCCAACAAATCAATCATGTACAATGTTATAGGATTTACATTGATGTGAAGATGTAGCATGAACGAGGTGACATGAGAAGGAATGATACTAAAAGTCGCCAAACGAGACTCGTTGCAGTAAACGTTAAGGGCCATCAGACTTCAAACTGTGCAGGAGAAAACACACGTATCCCTGAGACTGATATAAAAATAACTGCCAATCACGGATATTTGAGAATAGGTGAGTGAGTGAGTGAGTATGGTTTTACGCCGCTTTTAGCAATATTCCAGCAATATCACGGCGGAGGACACCAGGAATGTACCCCTTGTACCAATGCCGGGAATCGAACCCGGGTCTTCTGCGTGTCGAGCGAACGCTTTAACCACTAGTCTACCGGACCGCCCCTATTTGAGAATGGAGTGGGTGACATAACGATAGACAGTTATGTCATTGGCGCCATGCACAGTGACAGACACATATTTGACATCATCCTGAAAAGTCAACCCTCTGTAGACATGCTTGTATCAGCCTCTAAGACACTAGGATACATTTACACTTATTCACACTTATGTTAACTTACCGTGTCTCGAAATATACTGTCCATAAACATGCTTTACTTCCAATACTCAGTCCAGATATACAAACACAGTAAAACATGTAACACACCAGGAAGTGATTCACAATGATAGCCCAGGTAGACAATACAGAACCGGTTTGAGTTGTGGATGTTCATGGAAGCTAAATAAAGCCCATTGTGCCTGACGACGTACATAGATTAACATATCACAGCATGGTGTGTAGTTTCTTCAATGGCAGCCACCGTCATGTTGAGGCTATTATGACTTATCTACTGCTGAACATGTGTTTTGAAACTGTCACGAATACTCAGTAACGCATGTAACACCACACCAGGAAGTGATACACGGCCACATTCAAGGTCGTTATTCAAAACGGGTTTGGGTAGTGTGCAGGTTTTTTTTCACAGAAACTATATAAAGCACTACCACCTGTTGTTTGAAAGTGAGAGCTTTATGCCAGCGCCAAGTGATTAGAAACTTATTATGTCTGTGCCATGTGTGTGTAAGTTCGTTTTATATTTGTGGAGCGGCCAGGTTCTCAATATCCATGGCTCACTCATGCAGTTCACGCGAGTTGTCAGAGTTTTACCTGTACACCGGAAATATTCATTGCTAAAAGACATCGTCAGATTTGGGCCCACGTCCTCAGACTTCTTGGTTATAATGCGTCATTGCTACTGTGTAGACAGCTAAACAAAGCGACAAAAGCATTTCCATATCCAACAGAAATCTCTGCATGAAGCAGAGTCGATTGTACGATTCCGACTATATCATGTGTTTATGAATCACTAGCAAACAGTAATGATATCAGGTGTTCGCGAAAAGGTGAGAGTCAAATACAAACTGCACGGTACTTCAATTAGGACAGCTAATTGGTAAACGTTGGTTATCTCTTGCAGTTTCCTCATCCGCTGATCATCTGCTCACATTCAAGATGTCAGAAATCCCCACCCGTAAACACTGTCTTTATAGAATGTCAAATGATCCAATCGTGCAGCAAACATTTTTGAAGTACTGACCTGTAGACACTGTCCTGAAAGAATATGAACTTTTCCAATTAGGCTGCAAAGATATTTTAGTACTGACCTGTAGACCCTGATACAAGCTGATATTTTTGCCAGATGCGCGTTTAATTAATGCCAATATGCTACTCATTAGAAACAGCCATTGCAGTGGCTGTATTGTTGTACCTGGGTGGTCCACTCGCTGTGTTAACGGGCAGGGAAAATGCAATATCTGAGTCACGGAGACTTGTGTTCCAACACTGACCGCCTCGCGCCTCGTCGGTCTAAAGGATAGAGCCCATATAGAGGGTTGATAGAGATAATGGTCGTGGATTAGGTTATGCCAAGTAATTAGTACTTGTTGTTTCCCTGCCTCACACACATTTTTTCTTATTTATTTTATCATTTTTTCTTATTTCAATAAGAATGGCAGTCACGTTTCGCACTTTGAGTCATCTTCCTCACGACATTTGTCTTCATGTGAAATATAGTGTTGTAAAAAGAACTTTTAGAGAGAAAACACGTGGTGATTAACAATCAGAAAGTATCTCTTGGCGTGATTGGTAACGATTCAAGTGTGGATCGTATACACGATAGATTACACCAACCACATTCCAAAATGTAATTTATTCATGAAACAAAATCTATCATGACAGAAGTAAAAGAACTTTCTTTATTAAAATGTCGTCAATTGCATAACGCAATTTCAATAAAAATATACACACACAAAACACGTTTTCTAACAGTCAAGGTTACACAAGTACCTTAGAACACACAAACCAATAAAATATACACATAAAACGCACACTTTAAAAAAAACCCAATGAACCCAAGTACATTTAACACATTATGAACACAACCAGACACGAATTTGTCTATATCACAACTGATATAGTTAAGATCTAGGGTACACAGTGATGTGTATGAGGGTGTCAAGGGGTTGAACGTTACCTTCAAGAGATTGTGTATGTAGCTGATTGTTTCAGGTCGGTTTTATTCATGCTATCCCACTGAGGTACCATGCAGCAGTTTAACATGGGTACTACACCCATTATACTGACTCGGTGCCGACCAAATCTTGTTTGACCCCTTTAAGCCAAATGCCAGGCAGGGAAACACATAGAAAATCTCACCCTCGTGTCTTTTGATATCAAATATATCAAAACGAGTTGATAAAAGTGGCAAAGTTCCGAGGCTTGCCACTTTAATCAATGAGTGTTGATATATTTCATATCAAAAGACACAAGGGTGAAATTTTATTTATCATCCAACATCATTCTTCCAACTTTTTCAATTTGTAGACTGTAATTAGCAATGTCTTCGGTGTAAACAGTACTGCTAACAGCTTCAGTAGCAGAGCCATTAGTGATGTCATTTGATTGTGACGTCATGGTAACAGTGACGTCACAATGATCTTCAAAGCATTGTGATGTAATTTCATTGCAGCTTTATCTATAGTGTAGATATCGCTTGATCTAATCCAAGCAATATCTCCTGTGGGAGCCAGTTTTGGATGATAGTAAGTACAAACATGTTGTTATTTCTATAAGGTGTCTACCATAACGAATCACCGATCTTCCCCTTTCGGGAAGTGGTCGTGATTTGGATGAAACAGAACAGAACGTTTTTCATGTGCTGAGTCCAGACCACTGGGGCCCAGATATTAACAACCCTGCCACTCCGCATCAAGAATACATGTTAGGTATCACTCAGTGGAAGCGGGTGGGTTTTCGTACTGACTGTCAGCAGGTGCTGTATTGTAGTAGGCCGGGGACTCCTCGGTGTTGACAGACAGGGAAGTAGGAAACTTTTCACCTGTGTGCCCATGATCCAACTCAGTGTAGTTGTTATCAGTGTTAGGGTCACGTGACATGGTGCTGTACATCTGGTTGTTGCTTTCTGCGATGTCTGGAACAACACACGACACGACTACATTTAGGTGCAAAGGTATAAAATGTAACACTGATATTGTCTCCTTATAGTGAAATGGTGTTATATGCCGGATAAAAGGTGACGCATCAACCAAAGTTTTTTTATGAAACGGTGAAATGATATAAAAAATTGTCACTAACAAGTACCACACAATTGAATATACGACCAACAAGTAAATAGTTCACAAATATAGATATGTACAGACAAGCACAGAGTGTGTAAACAACCGGTGGAAACAGTTGATATTGGACACTATGAAAGAACAGTACTTACCCTGCTTGTATTTCCGTACGAGTAACACAGAGGTGGCAATGGCGACGACGATGACGATGACAACGATGATGCTCCCAGCTACAGCAGTAATTGGTAAAATATTTCCATCTGGAGTACAAAGTAAACTAATTTGTATCGTTATATCTGTCATTGTTACCATGGCATCCTGTATTCTGCATCCGATTTCAGGACCATGTTGTAGGAGATGGCTGTGGTCGCATATGATATTCATACATCATATTAATAAGATTAATAAAACTGATGTTGTAACAAGATAGAGTCAAGGACGTTGAAATCAGGACGTGGGGTGCTTTTCTCAACGTCTAGTTACATTCTGTCAAAAAAGTGCATAAAAACGAAACTGTATAGATGAACATATAAATATATTCATTTTTTTCAAATTAAAACTAAAGCAGTGAAAAGCGGAGTAACATGACACAGTCAAGCACAGAAACGTACAGGGCCACCCGATGTGAGCTGCAGAAAGGGGTTGAAATTAAGGTAATGTGTGATAAATAAAATAATATAAAATGAATAAAAGCAACAATATTTTCCACAATCATAGGAAAACTCGATTCTAACTTTATCATGAGTGTTTAAATATGGTTCGCTAAACGGTGAGTGTATCATGTCTCAACGGTGGCTCCCATCACAAATACATGCAAAGGAAAGTCAATTGTTCAGGTAAAAAGCAACAACGCAGAAACATATCGTACAAGTCAAAATAAGGAATTGCAATCATAAGAATTCTTTGAAGAAAGAGCATGCTTGATTGGAGGATTAATATCATAAATCACAATATCGTATGCATAATATAGGCAGATAAGTGCAATGACACACCTTCTGAGGTAGATAACAGAACTATCAACATAATAAGACATTATTAACTAAACGCCAGTAAGGAGGATTAATATAACTATAATATGTATAAAATAATCAAGAGTAAGTGCAACGATTTAACCTGCTGAGGCAGACGGTGAAACAATTGCTCCAATCGTCATTACAGGATCTTCTGTCGACAGAAAATGATTGTGTTATGTGTTGTTGAAATATGTATGTGTAAGCCTCACGTAATTCATCACCACCTTCACATATATTAATACATGGAGTGTGTATTTAGACTTTATATATATATTGTACGATATCAATAGTGAGGTTATTGCTGAACCGTCGTTCTACCAGACACATCCGTTATGATGATCAACGTCCATTGACACAGTATATTATATCATTGTTTGCCTGTTCGTTGCTTAACTTATCAATCAGCAATATTCCAGTTATATGGCGGCGGCGTGTGAATAATCGAGTATAGACCAGACACTCAAGTGACTGATATCATGAGCTTCTATCCATGAAAATACATAAAGTGTGTATTTACAATATATATATATATATATATATATATATATATATATATATATATATATATATATATATATATATATATATTGTACTATATCAATAGTGAGGTTATTGCTGAACCGTCGTTCTACCTGACACATCCCTTTGGTTGATCAACGTCCATCGACGCAGTATATTGTATCAGTGTTTGTCTGTTCGCTGCTTAACTCATCAATCGGCAATATTCCAGCTAAAGGCGGCGGTCAAGCAAGTCAGCGAGCCTGATCACCCGATCCCATTTGTCGCCTTTTGTGGCAAGCATCGGTAGCTGAAGACCTATTCTAACCTGGATCTTCACGGGTCTATTATACAAGTGAATTACCTTTCATAGATTCTTTGAGTTCAACAGTGATATTATGGCTGAGCTGTTGTCCAACCTTACACCTCCACACGGAGCCCTGGTCTAGTGTAGAGTTGGTCCTGAGAGTCACGTTGTGCTGCTGGAGGGAGGAGCTGACACTGATACGTCCTTACACAGACTTGTACTCAGGGGAGTCGGTGTCGTACACCAACATGGACCTTGGTAGGGTGGTTTGAAATATGTTCACTAAGTTCTTGGACCAAACAGTTTCTGTTATGTCATCTGTTCCTTCGCAAGTCAGTTTAAGGATCTGTTCATCTGTGCCTGGATTTTTTGTTGCATACACCGAGATGGACACTGACAATGAGACTATTATTTATACATGCCACACAATGATAATAGTCATCCTCTCAAGAAACTGGGTAATCACTTATTGTAAGTGTCAATTATTCAGTTACAGGAGTTATACCACTCTATTCACTGGCCTCGAATACCATCCAATAAATATGAGCGACAAAACCGCTTCCATATTCATAAGAAATCACGACTGAGATCGATTGTACGATTCTGACTATATTATGAGGATGTGTTAATGAATCACTATCAAATAGTCATGATACCAACTTACCAACTTCTACAAATGCCAATCAAACAGTTTTTACTGAGACATTGAATGTAACCTTGATCAAAACAATTAACTGAAAAATCTAATTACGGTAAGTACAAAACGTCAGAGATGAAGGATAATCATTCCCGATCAACTGTCCAAATAAAATCATAAGAATGGGTCAATGAAAGTCAATGATTACACCTGGCGTTCGAGAAAGGATAGGCATGTAATGCTCTGTCCTACTCTGTCGGTTAATACGCAAACCAGAATCAAGAGTGTTGATTAGCCCAAATCTGTGATACACAGCTGTATGTATATTATTCCAAGCCACATAACGTTGCATATGTTTTGTTTTGCTAATCCATTAAAATAGTTCAATCATAAGTGAATTACCTTGAATGGACTCTTTGACTTCAATGCTGATGTCATTGCTGAACTGTATTCCTGTCTGACACGCCCACACGGAGCCCTGGTCGAGTTTAAAGTTGGTCCTGAGAGTCACGTTGTGCTGCTGGATTGAGGAGCTGACACTGATACGTCCTGACACAGACTGGTACTCGGGGGAGGTGGTGAGGGGGCTGAGTGTGGCAGCAGATATGTCGGCATCACTGCTTGTATCAAATATGTTAACATTGTTTCTGTACCAGTTGACACTTATCAATGCCCTGCCCTGTGCGAGTGTACAGGGCAGTGTGAAGTCTGTCCGATCTGTGGCAGACTCTGGGTAGCTGGTCAGGTGTAAAGTTTCAGGCGCTGGAACATGTGTATGGGGTTATTGTCCAATGTCATGTCCTTGTACAGTATCATCATTTGAATATAACAATTACAGTGTTTTATGTTTCACTCACCCATATCAAACACTTACTTGCCTCCCCCACACACGGATGCACACCGGCCAATATTGCCATGACAACCATTGATGCCACCTGAGAATAGTAAGATAACGAAATAATGAGCAGCATCTATTAAGAGGTTTATTAGCACTGACTGTTACATTTTACGATCAGGCCATAATATTTTACAAATATTACCATCACTAAACTTGTGGAAAGAAATACGGGATCACATGGGGGTGTTATTAGGATCAGTTCACATTATAGTCACATTCATTGATACCTTGTAGTTAAGGGCACCATGAAATTTACTCCTCAGTATCAAGAGTCGATGCAAAGAGATGGCAAGCAATAATTTACACAGGCAAACATGTTATGTAAAAACGAAGCATGGTCGCGGTCATTCGTGACCAACTCATGTTATCCCGGGACAAGCCGAATAGCGATTCGTGCCCCTCTCGTGGCCATTTTTGCGACCGGGATCCGTCTAAGCGCAAACGGACATACCTAAAACAAGTGTGAACTCCGTCGCGAGCTGACAAGTACAATGCATGGTACACGGCTCTTAGGGGACTCGTGGTAGTCATCATCACCGTCTTTAGGGTCATAAGGAAACAAACTGTAATCAATCGGTTGAAAACTGCAGGAGTAAGCACACGTCTCCCTGGATTGACATTAGTATAACTGCTGATCAGGGGTGCCTGAAGTTGGCGTCATAACATTAGACAGTGGTATCATCGGCGCCACACTATGTTTAGTAACAAACAGAGATTTGACTAACTTCATCCTGAAAACAATAGTATATAAACATGTTTGTATTGCTCCAGTTATGGGATTATTATGCGAGCATATTTGTCATACTGAGTTCACGAAACTTTTGTATTTCCCGAGCGAGAGCAATTTCATTTAATCAGTGTGACACACATGCGAGTGTAATAATTTCTTTATTACCCTTTACTTTTTAAACCTTTTGAGCTCCCCTTTAAGAAAACGCAATGCTTACGACCACAATTGTTCCATGACGTCAACCATTTGAGCTGAGATGTGATCTCTAAAATTTCTATTCCGATTCGAATCACGTCAACAATGACGCGCACAATACACTGGTGCTCGTGAAGTCATATTTGCAAGAGGGCACAAAAGGTTTTCATGAACTCGGTTATTTCTGACCCTTCAGAGGGTGGCGGGGTAGACTAGTGGTTGAAGCAGTCGCTCTTCACGCCGAAGGTCCGTGTGTGATTCTCCAAATGGGTACAATGTGTGAAGCCAATTTCTAGTGTCCCCCGCCGTGATATTGCAGGTATATTTCTAACATCAGTGTAAAACCATACTCACTTAATCTGACCCTACGGTACAGCCGTCACCGAGACGCTGCAACGCATTGACACCACGTTTACTTGGTGTCGTGAAATATACCGTTCACAGAAATGCTTTTACATCAAATATTGAGCTCAGATATACAGACACAACGTCACGGAGCCGTCATAACGCATATAACACCACGTTAACTTACCGTGTTATGAAATATACTGTCCATAGACATGCTTTACTTCCGACACTGCACACAGATATACAGACACAACGTCATGGAGCCGTCATAACGCATATAACACCACGTTAACTTACCGTGTTATGAAATGTACCACCCATAGACATGCTTTACTTCCAACACTGCGCACAGATATACAGACACAACGTCACGGAGCCGTCATCACGCATATAACACCACGTTAACTTACCCTGTCATGAACTATACCGCCCATAGACATGCTTTACTTCCGACACTGCGCCAGGGAGACACAGTAACGCGTGTAACACCACACCAGGAAGTGATCACAGTGACAGCTCGGGCAGGCAATACAGAACCCGTTTGCTTATCTACATAATGATTGAAATAGGGCACTGAGAAAGCTTTATGTCATATTCATGCGATTACAAAGCTGCTATGTTGAATTGCAAATATATTGAAGCCCTCAGAGTGATCCCTACTCAACGCATATGTTGGTGTCAGATGTGTGGTCCGGCCCGGCTCTCACAATCCCTGGCACACTCATGCGGTTCACTTGTCCGTGTTTAACCGCTTCACCGGAAGTACTACTTGCACACATGTTTACATCAGTCTGAACTTGAGCAAGAGATGGAACCCACATCTGTAGACTTTAACAATAAAGCCTCATTGCTGGGTTGTGCTTCATCTTCATAAGTACAAAAAATATATATATTTGTCCATTCAGACCAAATGGATAATCTTTGCATGTCAGAATTATGACTATGTATTTTGTCTGTTGCAATTACTTGTAATTAGTTGTATGATTTTCTCATCTGCTGAGGGGGCAGTGTTTACATAACGGGACATACAACTGTGGGATGATATAAATGCCCGAGGGCAGTCGGTGCTAGATGTGAAATATACCACGATAACACAAGTGATATATATCATTTAAACACAGGTGATATATTTCATGTAAACACAGGTGATATATGCTATGTAAACGCAAGTGAAATTTCAGTTGAACATCAGGAGACTGAAAAAAACGTAGCCCGTCAACGTGAGAGATACGGTTATAGGGAAGGTCGATGCTGTGGGATTATAATTACATCATGTGCATGTGATAGATTACAACCCCCAAATAACCTCCTTCAGAGTCCTTAAGGTACAGCTCTATAACTACTGTACATGACAATACAACACACATTTTGAATTATTTATTTCATTATTTTTTTTACATTATGTTTCTTATTTCAATAAGAATGGCAGTCACGTTTCGCACTTTGAGTCATTTTCCTGACGACATTTGTCTTTATGTGAAATATTGTGTTGTAAAAAGAACTTTTAGACAGAAAACACATGGTGATTAACAGTCAGAAAGTATCGCTTGGTATGATTAGTAATGATTGAAGTGTGGATCGTATACACGATAGATTACACCAACCACATGCCAAAATGGAAATTTATTCATGAAAAAAACCCAATCATGCCAGAAGTAGAAGAACTTTCTTTATAAAAATGTCACCAATTGCATAACGCAATATCAATAAAATGTACACACACAAAACACGTTTTCTAACAGTCAAGGAGACACAAGTACATTAAAACACACAAACCATTAAAATATACACATAAAACGCACACTTTCAAACAAATTCAAGGAAACCAAAGTACATTTAACACATTATGAACACAACCAGACACGAAATTGTCCATATCACAACTGATATAGTTACCATCCAGGGTACACAGTGATGTGTTTGGAGGTGACACGGGGTTGAACGTTACCTTCAAGATTGTGTATGTCGGTTTTATTCATGTTATCCCACTGAGGTACCACACAGCAGTTTAACATGGATACTACACCCATTATACTGACTCGGTGCCAACCAAATCTTGTTTGACCCTTTTAAGCCAAACGCCAGGTAGGGAAACAATAAGTATTAACAAGTTGTTATTGGCATAGCGGGTCTAGTGGAACGAACCACCGATCTTCCCTTTCCTGGAAGTGGTCGTAATTTGTATGAAAGAGAACAGAATGTTTTTCTTGTGCCCAGTCTGAGAATTGTCCTGCCCACTGGGGCCCACCCTGCCACTCTGCATCAAGGATGCGGGTTACGTATCACTCAGTGGAAACGGGTGGGTTTTCGTACTGACTGTCAGCAGGTGCTGTGTTGTAGTAGTCCGGGGACTCCTCGGTGTTGACAGACAGGGAAGTAGGACACTTTTCACCCGTGTGCCCATGATCCAACTCAGTGTAGTTGTTATCAGTGTTCGGGTAACGTGACATGGTGCTGTACATCTGGCTGTTGCTTTCTGCGATGTCTGGAACAACACACGACACGGCAACATTTAGGTGTAAGGATTTGAAATAGAACACAAATATTGTCTCCTTATAGTGAAATGTTGTTTTATGTGGACAGGCACAGGGTGTGTAAACAACACAGTTTTACATTGGACACTGTGAAAGAACAGCACTTACCTTGCTTGTATTTCCGTACGAGTAACACAGAGGTGACAATGGCGACGACGACGACGATGACGTTGACAACGATGACGCCCCCAGCTGCAGCAGTGATTGGTAAAATATTTCCACCTGGAGTACAAAGTAAACTCAACTTGAATCGTTATATTCATCATTGTTACCATGACACCCTGTGTACATCCTGTATTGTGTTTCCAGTTTCAGGACTATGTTGTAGGTGAAGGCTCCAGCCTTTGGTGTTTACATTTCACAACTTTTGAGATACAATCGATGCATGCTCTTTCCACCACGATTTCAAAGAGCGTCATACGATTCTTACTCAGAAGTTGTTTGATCAAGGTTACAACATTCAAGGCCTCAGTAAAGCTTCCAAAAAGTTGGTAGACACATGGAGGAATTTGTGACAAAAATGATGATCGATGCAATTCCCTATTTTGACTTTACCATATGTTCCCATGTGTGTGCGTCGGTTGGCCTACTACTACTACTACAGCTACTACTTCTACTACAACTGCCACCACAACTACTGCTTCTACTACTACTACTACTTCTACTACTACTACTACTAGTCATGCTCACTTCTATTACAACTACCACCACCATTACTGCTGCTACTACTACTACTACTACTTCTACTACTACTACAACTGCCACCACAACTACTGCTTCTACTACTACTACTACTACAACTACCACCAGCACTACTACTACTGCTACTACCTCTACTACAACTGCCACCACAACTACTGCTTCTACTACTACTACTACTATTTCTACTACTACTACAACTACTACTACTACTACTACCACCTCTACTACTACTACTACTACTACCAACACCACTACTACTACAGCTACTGCTTTTACGACTGCTGCTATTAGTACTACTGCTACTACTACTACTACTACTACTACTACTACTATTACTTCTATTACTACTACCGCCGCCACTACTCTATGCTGTACTGTATGGTAGCACTCTAGTGTTGACACTTACTTTTTGTGGACCCTGCTGTGTCCGCTGGGTTCGTTGTCATCATATCTTTCTTATCAGTCGAGGGTGGACCTTGAAACATACAGATATTCAGTAAACAACACATTGAAACAATCGTTCAACACATGGTCAAATCTAGGCCTCACAAAGATTTAGAAATCGGTACATAATGTTGATATCTAAAAACCCGACTAGTGATCATTGTTTGCCACTAATACTACTACGACTAACGACATAATATGAAAGTTGTCAACCAAACACGTTGGTGATTTGTACTGTCATCAACCCAAAGGCGTGGGACATGCATATGCTATTAATCGCTGGTTTTTTTCTGATCCAGACTGGAACCTTTCTAATCTGCTGTCATATGGCTGAAATGTATAGCGTTAAAGATACCATGCCGCGGATTAACACGAACACCACACTCTGTCCCAGTGTACTGACTCCGAGCCAACCAGTCCTTGTTTTTGCCACTTAATGCCGAGCGCCAGACAAGTTAACAGCAAGCACCATCTGCTAATGGCTTATGGTATGACTCGAGCGGAGATCGAACCCCAGACCTTCCCCCCTCCCAGCGGACGCTATATAAAGCCACAAATTGTATGTTTGTCCAAGCAGAATCACTTTAAACATTCGGTTTCAAATACTGACAAGTTCGATGCTAAATGTCCACTTCAGTGTGGTAGAGGTATATGGTCATTGAAAGGGGCGTAGTTATAAAGGATATGATCTACAAGTACGCACCTGTGTGCTGTCCTTCAGTGGCAAACATTGTACTGTCCCTGGTTGATTTAGGACCTGGAGACGATGCCCCTAGGAATGTACAATGTCATGGTAAAAACAATACACTAAAAAGCCTACCACAAAAGTGATATCTTTCTTAATACTGTATTTTGTGCCTGCAATCTTTTGGAGCCTGAAATGTTGAAAGCCTGTCAGAGTTTCAAATCTTGTAGGAGTATTAGTCAGACTGTACAGTATATATACGTCATATATTGGACAACGTTATTTTTGAGAGGAAAGTGTCCAGTGAGTTCTTCCACATAGATCTAGCTGGGGTAGGCAGATAAACGCAGTGGCCGAACGATCGCATCCAAATGTGGGAGAGATATGACAATCGTGCCTGTGATTAGTAGGAGTAGTAGTAGTAGTAGTAGTAGTAGTAGTAGGAGTAGTAGTAGTAGTGGCGGTGGCAGCGGTGGTGGAGGTAGTAGTAGTAAAGGAAGTGGCGACGGTATTTAGACACAGAGTTTCATGATTATATAATTTCATTTCTTCCATAATGCATTTTGTGTGTAAATATATTAAACATGATTTACGGGAGAATTGTTTGAAACATTGATGAAGATTGTGAATTATAGAATGTTTCTTAGCTATTCCTCTTCTTTCTGGAAGGTTGTTTTAATTGTTGAGACAATGCAGATGTATCATTTCTGAAACATGTATCTCATTAGCACGCAATGTAAGATTGCACGTGTACCTTCGGTTGTGCTTGTACCTTGAATGAACTCTTTGACTTCAATAGTGATGTTATTGCTGAACTGTGGTCCAGTCTTACACCTCCACACAGATCCCTGGTCGAGTGTAGAGTTGATCCTGAGAGTCACGTTGTGCTGCTGGAGGGAGGATCTGACACTGATACGTCCTGACACAGACTGGTACTCGGGGGAGGTGGTGAGGGGGTGGAGTATGGCAGCAGATGCGCCGGCATCACTGCTTGTATCAAATATGTTAACATTGTTTCTGTGCCAGCTGACACCTATCAATGTCCTGCCCTGTGCGTGTGTACAGGACAGCGTGAAGTCTGCTCCATCTGTGGCAGACTCAGGGTAGCTGGCCAGGTGGGGAGGCGCTGGAACATGTGTATTGTATGAGATTATTGTACAATGTCATGTTCTTGTACTCTATCATCATTTGAATACAACAAGTACAGTACTTTATGTTTCACTCACCCATATCAAATACTTACCTGTCGCCTCCACACAAGGATGCACACCAGCAATAACGCCATGACGACCATTGATGCCACCTGAGAATAGTAAGATTACGAAATAATGAGATGCATCAATTTAGAGAATTATTAGCACT